CTGTCTGTATAGGTATTGAAATGTATATATACCCCTGTCTATATAGGTACTGAAATGCATATATACCACTGACTGTATAGGTACTGAAATGTGTATACCACTGTCTATATAAGAACTGAAATGTATATACAACTGTCGGTATAGGTGCTGAAATGTATATATACCACTGTTTGTATTGGTACTGAAATGTATATACCGCTGTCTATATACGTACTGAAATGAATATACCACTGTCTGTATCGGTACTGAACTGTACATATATATACCACTGTCTGTATACGTCCTGAAATGTTTATACCACTGTCTGTATCGGTACTAAAATGTGTATACCACTGTCTGTATCGGTACTGAACTGTACATATATATACCACTGTCTGTATACTGAAATGCATATACCACTGTCGGTATCGGTGCTGAAATGTATATACCGCTGTCTTTATAGGTACTGAACTGTATATACCATTGTCTGTATAGGCACTGAAATGTATATACCACTGTCTATATAGGCACTGAAATGTATATATACCACTGTCGGTATAGGTCCTGAAATGTATATATACCACTGTTTGTATTGGTACTGAAATGTATATACCGCTGTCTATATACGTACTGAAATGTATATACCACTGGCGGTATCGGTACTGAAATGTATATTGTGTATATGTTCCACTGTCTGTATAGGTACTGACCTGTATCGGTACTGAAATGTATATTGTGTATATGTTCCACTGTCTGTATAGGTACTGACCTGTATCGGTACTGAAATGTATATACCACTATCTATATACATTTTGTAGGTACTGAACTGTATATACCACTGTCTGTATAGGTACTCTGTATCGGTACTGAAATGTATTGTCTGTATCGGTACTAAAATGTATATACCACTGTCTGTATCAGTTCTGAAATGTGTATAGCACTGTCTGGATAGGTACTGAAATGTATATACCGCTGTCTATATACGTACTGAAATGAATATACCACTGTCTGTATAGGCACTGAAATGTGTATACCACTGTCTACTGGAATGTGTATACCACTGACTGTATAGGTACTGAAATGTATAACCACTGTCTGTATCAGTACTGAAATGGGTATAGCACTGTCTGTATAGGTACTGAAACGTATATATACCACTGTCTATATAAGTACTGAAATGTATATATACCACTGCCTGTATAGGTACTAAAATGTATATATACCACTGTCTATATAGGTTCTGAAATTTATATATACCACTGTCTGTATAGGCACTGAAATGTGTATACCACTGTCTGTGGTATAGGTGCTGAAATGTATATATACCACTGTCGGTATAGGTGCTGAAATGTATATATACCACTGTTTGTATTGGTACTGAAATGTATATACCGCTGTCTATATAGGAACTGAAATGTATATACCACTGTCTATATAGTTACTGAAATGTGTATACCACTGTCTATATACATTTTGTAGGTACTGAACTGTATATACCACTGTCTGTATAGGTACAGAAATGTATATACCTTTGTCTATATAGGTACTGAAATGTGTATATACCACTGTCTGTATAGGTACAGAAATGTATATACCACTGTCTGTATCAGTACTGGAATGTGTATAGCACTGTCTGTATAGGTAATGAAATGTGTATACCACTGTCTGTCTAGGTACTGAAATGTATATATACTACTGTCTGGATAGGTACTGAAATGTATATACCGCTGTCTTTATAGGTACTGAACTGTATATACCACTGTCTATATAGTTACTGAAATGTGTATACCACTGTCACTGTCTGTATCGGTACTGACATGTGTATACCACTGTTTGTATAGGTACTGAACTTTGTATACCACTGTCTGTATGGGTACTGACATGTGTATACCACTGTTTGTATAGGTACTGAACTTTGTATACCACTGTCTGTATGGGTACTGACATGTGTATACCACTGTTTGTATAGGTACTGAACTTTGTATACCACTGTCTGTATAGGTCCTGACATGTGTATACCACTGTCTGTATACGTACTTAAATGTATATACCACTGTCTGTATCAGTACTGAAATGTGTATAGCACTGTCTGGATAGGTACTGAAATGTATATACCTTTGTCTATATAGGTACTGAAATGTTTATATACCACTGTCTGTATAGGTACAGAAATGTATATACCTTTGTCTATATAGGTACTGAAATGTGTATACCACTGTCTATATAAGAACTGAAATGTATATACAACTGTCGGTATAGGTGCTGAAATGTATATATACCACTGTCGGTATAGGTACTACTGTCTGTATCAGTACTGAAATGGGTATAGCACTGTCTGTATAGGTACCGAAATGTATATATATACCACTGTCTGTATACTGAAATGCATATACCACTGTCGGTATCGGTGCTGAAATGTATATATACCACTGTTTGTATTGGTACTGAAATGTATATACCGCTGTCTTTATAGGTACTGAACTGTATATACCACTGTCTGTATAGGTATTGAAATGTATATATACCCCTGTCTATATAGGTACTGAAATGCATATATACCACTGACTGTATAGGTACTGAAATGTATATATCCCTGTCTGTATAGGTACTGAAATGTATATATACCACTGTCTGTATTGGTGCTGAAATGTATATACCGCTGTCTATATAGGTACTGAACTGTATATACCATTGTCTGTATAGGTACTGAAATGTATATACCACTGTCTATATAGGTACTGAAATGTGTATACCACTGTCTGTATAGGTACTAAAATGTGTATACCACTGACTGTATAGGTACTGAAATGTGTATCCCACTGTCTGTATCGGTCCTGAACTGTACATATATACTGTATAGGTACTGAAACGTGTATACCACTGTCTGTCTAGGTACTGAAATGTATATTCCACTGTCTGTATAGGTACTAAAATGTGTATACCACTGCCTGTATAGGTACTGAAACGTATATACCACTGTCTGATATACCACTGTCTATATGCATTTTGTAGGTACTGATCTGTATATACCACTGTCTATATGCATTTTGTAGGTACTGAACTGTATATTCTATTGTCTGTATAGGTACTGACATGTGTATGAAATGTATATATACCTCTGTTTGTATAGGTACTTAAATGTGTATACCACTTTCTGTATAGGTACTGAATTGTATATACCACTGTCTATATGCATTTTGTAGGTACTGAACTGTATATTCCACTGTCTGTATCGGTACTGAACTCTACATATATATACCACTGTCTGTCTAGGTACTGAAATGTATATCCCACTGTCTGTATAGGTACTAAAATGTGTATACCACTGCCTGTATAGGTACTGAAACGTGTATACCACTGTCTGTATCGGGACTGAACTGTACATATATACTGTATAGGTACTGAAATGTCTATACCACTGTCTGTATAGGTACTGACATGTGTATGAAATGTATATATACCACTATCTGTATAGGTACTGAATTGTATATACCACTGTCTATATAGTTACTGAAATGTGTATACCGCTGGCTATATACGTACTGAAATGAATATACCGCTGTCTATATAGGTACTAAAATGTGTATACCACTGTCTGTCTACGTACTGAAATGTGTGTACCACTGTCGGTATTGGTGCTGAAATGTGTATACCGCTGGCTATATACGTACTGAAATGTGTATACCACTATCTGTATAGGTACTGAATTGTATATACCACTGTCTATATAGTTACTGAAATGTGTATACCTCTGTCTGTATTCGTGCTGAAATGTGTATACCACTGTCTGTATTGGTGCTGAAATTTATATACCGCTGTCTATATACGTACTGAAATGGGTATACCACTGACTGTATAGGTACTGAAATGTCTATACCACTGTCTGTATCGTTACTGAAATGTGTATACCGCTGTCTGTATTCGTACTGAAATGTGTATCCCACTGTCGGTATTGGTGCTGAAATGTGTATACCATTGTCTATATTCATTTTGTAGGTACTGAACTGTATATACCACTGTCTATATAAGAACTGAAATGTATATACAACTGTCTGTATTGGTACCGAACTGTACATATATATACAGTTCAGTACCTACAAAATGTATATAGACAGTGGTATATCAGACAGTGGTATATACCGCTGTCTATATAGTGTATACCACTGTCTGCATCGGTACTGGAATCTATATACCACTGTCTGTCTACGTACTGAAATGTGTATACCACTGTCTGTATACGTACTGAAATGTGTATACCACTGTCGGTATTGGTACTGAAATGTGTATACCGCTGTCTATATACGTACTGAAATGTATATACCACTGTCTGTATAGGTACTGAAATGTATATCCCACTGTGTGTCTACGTACTGAAATGTGTGTACCACTGTCGGTATTGGTACTTAAATGTGTATACCGCTGTCTTTATACGTACTGAAATGTGTGTACCACTGTCGGTATTGGTGCTGAAATGTGTATACCGCTGTCTTTATACGTACTGAAATGTGTATTCCACTGTCTGTATCGGTACTAAAATGTGTATATGTTCCACTGTCTGTATAGGTACTGAAACGTATATACCACTGTCTGATATACCACTGTCTATATACGTACTGAAATGTGTATACCACTGTCTGTATACGTACTGAAATGTATATACCACTGTGTGTATACGTACTGAAATGTATATACCACTGTCTGTTTGTATTTAGCCTTATACAAAGACCTTATACACTTAACATTATTGCTCTTTATTGATGATTGATTGATTGATGATCCACGCCGTTTAAATAGTTATATTCATTGCTGAACCAATTTTTCGAAACGTTAGTCACTGTTCCAATAAATGATTTCAAGGAGAATTCCTTTGGAAATCCTCATACATTTGTCATTACGAACGTCTTGTTCCACGAAATGATATGAGGCTAGCTTACACAGTTGGGTGTTTTATGTTAAACACATGAGTAGCGTTCTATTACTGGACGTCCGGGGTTTCACCAGAATTGCGTGGGTAAATACGTCTGATAAAGTTTAAATCACGTGATAGATACTCTATGATCACAGTATATAAATGGTTCCTACACATATACGGGCCAGTGTTTTGATTTGGAGATTTTCCCTATTTGAAAATTATCTTGGATCATGGTGAGTACTATATTTTTGATATAATTCATGTAGGCAATGAATTTGTAATTAATAGTAAAGCCTGCCTTAATCATGCATGTGTATAACATCCAATTTTTATATTTTAATTCTATAAGACAATAACTCATGTCTACCTATATTATTTTCGAATTAGCATATTTAGAGAATATGGACATTCAATTAGGATAATATATCTTTAATCGTGACAAAAAAGCTCTATAATTCTGTTTTTAAAATATATTTCTTTGTCAAATGTTTATTCTGAAAGCATTTTGACGACAGAAGAAATGCTTACTATTTTTAGAGACGCTTAATCAATTCAGATGTTTTGAAAAATTAATGCAGAATACTATGCATGTTGTTTATATTATAACCTATTGATGAGAAAAAAAGACTGCAGTTTATTAATTTAATCTTAGTAAACCCTCACTATTTATTTGCGTATACATTATTATTCTTTTCAATTGAAATACTTAAGGAGGTGAAAATTACAAAATGGCGGTAATTTGTGTACATTTCATGGACAATGGACATATTGTAAATTATTATATATCAACAATTGTACACATTTGGTTAAAAATAGATTATGTACGAGCTTGTGTGCTCATTATATGTAAATAAATATACAACGATTCTTATTAAATATGCTCGGTAATATTAGAATCGGGCGAGGCAAAAACCAGGCGTGTCCTGGACCTTGGTGTCACACAACAGGAAATATACACTGAGCTGATGATGTTCGCGCATCCTCGGTTTCTCATTTGGCTTTGCAAAGATTAAATTATATCGAAAATTAACAGTAAGAATATTTGATAAAAGGTAAGCATAGTGCCATGATAAATAGAGAAATCATGATATACCATAGCGGCAATGACTTGAAAACGTTCCTAAATAATCTGATAATAACTTTTAATTTTAACATCCAAACGAAACAGAAAGTTCTCTTTTATTCCCATTGTTACAAGTTCGTAGATGTTTTTTTTTTTTTTTTTTTTTTTTTTTTTTACAAAACTTCAATTCTGAAAATCATCTCAGTAGTCTTAATCAATAGGTTATTGCTTAGTATTACTATTATAAATACATATATTTAGAAAAACTGAGCAGAAACACCGTAAGGTACTCCTAATTCAAAAATAGGCTTAATATTACTAATTTATTGTTTTTGTTATGATAATAATTAGGACACTTGAAGTTTGATTCACCTTTCTAAGTTAACACTTTGATACAAGTTAGTTGGAAATAACACGAATACAAGCATAAACAATGGAAATTTGTGCTAATATCAAATAATTAACATTTTAGATAAACAACATGTCATCGAAACGATGAAAAACCACGATGATGACATCGTCATTGTTGGGGTTGGAGGAAAGTTCCCCGGAGCAGACAACATTGACGAGTTTTGGCAGGTATTGCGTGATGGCGAGAATCACGTAATAGAAATTCCTTCGGACAGATGGAACCTGGAAGCATTTTACCACGAAGATCCAGACGAGCCCGGAAAAACCTACGTAAGGAAAGCTGGACTCCTGAAAGGGTATGTGTCTTGTGAATAAATATACTGATAAATAATTACTGTGTGTATTCTAATTAGGTTTCAGACCCACGTGGGGCAGTCGCCAGGTACTTGCCGCATGTAGGTGGGTTTCCTCCAGGTACATATACTCCGGTTTTTCTCCATAACCAAAACCTGGCACGTTCTTAAGGGCTTGGTTTGTTTGTGTTTTACGTACTATTGACAGCTATGGTCATTTAAGGACGAACCAGATCTTGGTGGTGGAGGCAAGCCGGAATTCCCGGAGAAAAACCACCGACGTATACGCGTACGGTCAGTAGTTCCTGGCGACTGCCCCACGTAGGCCTCAAACCCACAACCCAGTGGTGGAGGGCTAGTGGTAGCAGAATGTCAGACACCTATAACCACTTTTGCCACCGCGGCCCCTACACGTCCTTTGATACACAAACACATCAAACGGAGCTGTATGTATACCACACCAGTTAGTTATAAACCTTGGAGAAGAACGAGGTCAAAGTGTGATCCAAATAATAACAAAAAACACTTTCCTTTTCCATTTTGTATTTCTATGTTGTTAGCTGCAAACCTCTGTGTTATATAACAATCCAGCGATGCCTGACTTCATAGATAGGATGCAATATTAGGGACACATGTTTCTGTTCTGAGTATATAATATAATCATACATGTATGAACGAGCTCAATATGCCAAACTTCACACTGCCACACCATATCCCTCTAACCCGTTTCTTATGTATAATGAAAAATTTAAGGCGTCAAAACATCTCAATTGTTTTATGTTTCTCGACATTTCCCTCTGAGGCATGTGATGGTGTACATCTCAAAAACTCAACCACATATTTCTGGCTACTAAGTCGTGGCAAATAGACCGCGAGTTCTCACAACGTTTGGTCGTAAGCACCCCTAACATGTAACCTGTGGTTTTCTACTTTCAATTTCTTTTCTTCGAAAACCATGATTAAACCCTTTCAAAAGTCTGTGCAGCTATATCACCAGCTTCTAAGAATTTAACGTGGATAAGAACACAGTGTGCGTGAAGTCCTTGTGGAAATTTTATTTACAAAACAAGATATCGTTACGTGGAAATCAGAAGGTCGTGGAATACGTCCATCCACACACAAACTGTCACAGGAAACAGGCGTAGCTTCTGACTCATTCCGTGATCTAATGTCAAGGTCGTCCACATGTAAAGCCTATATGTTCACACTGGTGGTACTATATATGTTATAGACTATTTCTGATTCTTTTATAAACTATTTATATATAGACATTTGCAAATAAAGATATCAAACGGAAATACACATCTTTGTAAAAACAAATATGTAAGGCATAAGTAAATATTTAAAAAAAAAAGTCGATAAAACGTCAGAATAATTCGGAGTAGATATTAACCAGCACAAAAGCCCATTACTGTTCTATCATATGCTACAACAAATACATTTTGCATTAGTAACCTTTACTGGAATTTAGGTCTATGCTGGAACGAGCCTTTGTGTAAAATTTAGCCAATGGTTGAATCAAACAGTTCGGCATCGTAGCTTTCGGAGACATCGTCAAGGTTCAAGCATGGATGACACAGAAATTTTGTGATAAATTAGTGCTGAAAATAATTGTGTAAATAATTGCTTATTCATGAAAAACTTTAATCTTACCATCTATTATTAAATTTATATTTCGAAAAGTCCATATCTAACAACTCAAGTGCGAATTAATGCAACACACGTTTATATGACATTTAGACATAATTTGGCCATATACATGTGGCATTATCGTTAATTGTAATGACTATATATCCTTTGTGACATTTGAGATAAGACTCATGTACGTACTCTCTGTAAACTTACTTTCATAACTCATTACTTTTGTCCATCACATTACGCAACATTACACAACAGGATTAGTGTAATAGCCTTTACCTTGTGGACACTGACCACGGGTAATTAATCTAACAATTAGCGACACCTGTCACTTAAACCTCAGGTACCTTTATTGTACGTACATGGGGTCCTCCTTAAAAGCGTCTTCAACCGACATCAAGCGTCTTCAAGTGACAACAAGCGTCTCCATACAAATCTTTTAAAATACTGAATAAAGTAAGCGACATCAGAAGATATGTTGTTAATATGACTATAATACACCTCTGTAGCAAATTTCAGCTCGATATTCGATAAAATGACCAAGTTATGATGAATTGAATTTTTACGATCGCGGCGTGGCTCATGTGTGTATTCGCATGTAAAGTGAAGAAAGCGTCGCCAGATAATATCGTTACAATTACTCGCTAAAGTAAGCGACATCAGAAGATATGTTATTAGTTAGACTTTTATTGATATACATTCCAAATTTCAGCTCGATTTTTGAAAAAATGATCGAGTTATGATTAATTTATTATTACGATCGGCGGCGTGGCATACGTGTGTGATTAGAACTCNATATGTTATTCATATAACTATGATACACCTTTATACCAAACTTCAGGTAGATTTGTTGAAAAATGATTGAGTTATCGTGAATTTAATTTTACGATTTTACGAAGCTATACGCCGTGTCACATATGTGTACGTAGGGTAGGGCTTCGCATAGGTGAACACAGTTAGAACGGATTATATTGTAGAACTCTCAGCCACACTCTTGAAACGAGCATGTTACCAGACCCTACGGACGTGGTTCTACTCAGGGTCCGTTATATGTTCGTGTGACTGATCGATTTAATGTTGATGTTTATAAAAAAAATCCCTATAGTTTTAAATGAATTTATATATACTACACCAATTTTAAATGGTTATTCTTGTAAAGGTAAAGCTGAAAAATAAAATCGGTTTAAACTTCTAATGAAAGGACTGGCACACAGGTGTAAATATCGGTATCAAATACATTTTGTCTGTATACGTAAGAATAACTGTTTCTCAAAAAAAGTCAAATGTCAAAAAATTTCACATCTTGAATCCCGTCCTGCGGACACACAAGTGTTGTGAAAGCGTAAAAAAGTTCTTCTTTGAGCGTAATTGTCAGCAGGTAACTAAGTTACAACTTTTGTTGTTTAACAGGACCGTGCGTTTCGGTGCGATTCGCGAGAACACGTTTTCGCGTCCCTGGTTTTTTGGCGATTGCTGCGGTTTTATGTATTGTTAACATACCATTCGTAGATGTTAAAAAGTCTGTTTTCTTCCACACATGCTTTATAGTAACTTGTCAACTTTGCGCGCTTTATCAAACGTTGACAATTCCCGCCACACGACTGTGCTCAACTTGAAATGCTGCGCGTGCGCGGCCAATTCATAGTCTCCGGTACCATGCAACGATCTACGTACGTCAGAGTACTGCGATTGTTGAATGGTATCCAAACGCTGAATCAGCTCGGGAACTTTTGATATTTTCCAGTCCCCTTGAAATTTCATGATGTGATTCATCGATTCGCAATTGTTGGTTTTTCCAACCTTTTGGAATTGTAGCATTGCGCAATCTCGATTCAATCACCCTGCGCTTAATCGTTGGTAAAATCTTTTCTGACCAATATCTTCCTAAGCGTGTTCCATATGAATCCTCAATCTTTTGTGCATTGGTATTGAATTTTTTTATTGAATCACAATTCAATAAACCATCTTCATCAAAGATTGATGACATGTCTCTGGGTTCATTCATAGAATCGTCCAGTGACTTAATGTCGTCTAGAATGGCTTTCGAAGTCTGTTTTTTAATTAACCTATCGTGTATTGCCTCCTTTGTAGCGAGGGTTGCGCGCTGATACTCTTGTTTTGTACGTTTAGAACGGCCGTGGATAGAGGGTTCTGAAGGAAACAATCCTAAATACTCCGCAATAGCAATGTTCATCGCTTCATCGTCTGTCGAACCAACTTATACGTTTTTTATAGGACGCGTCGCGTGCAAGGGTCGAGTAATACCGTTTCAGTACAAAAATCTCGTCCAATTGTGGCTGTGGATTAAGTGGTACGGTTTTTTGTTTCGCTTAGCATAATTGATAACATGTGGATCGATATTGGTCTACCAATAGGAAAGTACGTACCATTGAGTTAGTTCTATTGTTATATGTGCTATAAAAAGAGCAGCGACTAGCGTTGTTCTGTCAAAGACTAAGCTAGTCGCCTGCTTAAACGGCCCTTTTCAGGGCCACAATCTTTTTAAAAAAGACCCGAGAAACTCGAAACCTCCCACTATATTATTTATAATATTTTTTTTTATATATAATTAAACACATTGTTAAATGTATTCTTAATGGGTTACAGTTAAAATCTAAATGTTATTCTTAACACAGCTGATTAAAGGTGTATCAATGTTTATATAGCAATATATTCTAACTGTGTTCACCTATGTCAGAGACGTATAACACATACACGTATCTGCCTATGCGTAGCCCTACGTATACCCTACCAAGACGCTTGTTGTCGGTTGAAGACGCTTTTAAGGAGGACCGCGTACATGTATTTAACTGTGATATGTTGTATTGCAAATCAGTTAGGTTCTTTAGATTAGATTATTTTATTAACCTCGAGTCAACTGACTCATGGGTATAATACATATATTACAAGATAAGTACACCATGTTATACAATACAATACAGAATAACATATGGACATATGTTAAGAGGAGAGTGACTCTTTACGTACACTTGTTGCCAAATGTCAATATTTTCCAAGATTAAAAAGTTCCTTTACATTATTGGTACTTAATAGTTGAGTTAGCTTAAACACACTCGGACTTAAACGATAATATTTCTTTATGTACTTTAACCTTAGATTTTCATAAAATGGACATTTGAGAATAAAATGAAACTCATCTTCAATGTCGCCTAAATTACATCTATAGCTAGTACACAGTCGAGTATGACGGTTTATATTATTCCGCCTCCCGACCTCAATATTTAAACTGTGAGAGGACAGTCTATAGCAAGTAATTTGACGCTTGCATTTTGATTGGATTGGCTTACGCAAATAAAACTGTAAGTCGACATTGTCTATCAGGTGTTGATATAAATACTCCTTTG